CATACTGGGATCATCGTCTCAATTTTGTGACTTTGCAACCAAAGGTGCTCCAAAATTTATGTTTTCGTTTGGTCTGGCTGATTTTATTGGAAGAGTCCTTTTGTTATAAAGAAGAGTTTCATGTTCCACGAATTGGCCGATGTAAACCGTTGAAAACTTTGATCAATTAAAAGGCTTAAGGACTTGTTGTCCTAATGCTTCAGTATCCGGGTTTAGTTGGTGAAGGAAAAGTTTGTGAAATGCAGAATCATATATCACTCTGTCGCATAGTTTTGTTATGGCTAGCTCCAGCCAAGAGTTAAGCTAAGTTGTAGGGCGTGTCATTTTGTGTTCTGTTTCAGCTCTCCTTCTCTTGAACTGGTTAGTCATGCTTTAGGTATATGTGTTTTTCATTCTCTCTAGTTGGAATAGAGTGAGAATTGGCTTATTTTTGAAGGTAGAAGAAAATTGAAGTATGATGGAAGTGAGTTGGTATGTTTCTTGATTTCTTAAGCTTATATTTGTTGATACTCATGAGTCTTATCTCAGTCCTCATTAAGTATAATGATCAACTTTGTAACAAGAGAGTGCATGATCAATAATTAATCACTTTCACTAGCTTATCAGTAATGCTGAGCTTCCTTTATGATTTCAAAACCTCTAGTTTTTAGTTTATTATTTCTTGCCTCCGCTTGTTGCTAATTATTGGTTAGCTTCTTCTATTTGCTTCAGTCAAAACATGTTGGAGCTGCTTCACAAGGTTTAATATTCGAGCGAAATTGCAAACTCAATGTACTTAAGCTCTTCTAGCCAAAATCCTTCGCCTGAAACTGAAACCCATGACTGGACTTTGCGTCCTCAACAAAAGAGATCTTCCGTTTCTCAAGGTTTGGTTTACAATTAGCTCCTTCATCTGAACGGTTGCCTTGTCCCTGTCTTGTAAGTGTGTTTATTTTACTTCTGATGCTGGGGAGAAGAGTCGAGCTGTGATGGTTCTCATGTACTTGGTTCAGTCATTCCCACCTGCACATGAAACAGCGCAAGGAGAAGTGAGGAATAAGGTCCCTAATATACTAGGATAGACCACTAGTATTGACCATGGAAGGATTTCAGCTGCCTTTTCCCCAGGTTTTCCCTATTGAATGAGTAATGGACAAGACTTGTAGATGCGTGATAGAACCCCTACAAACCTAAATCTATTTTTTTTACTTAGAACTTTCACCCATACATGTGTCTATTAGAGCGAGATCATACAAGGAACATAATACTTTTATTAATATACATAAGATTTAACTAGAGACTCAATTTCAGTAGAGTCAAGCGAGAGCAGCTGAACCATAGCAATCCCACTGATAAGGGACGAGAAGATGAATTAATCAACAACGAGGTGATAAGTAGTGTATCACGAATACGCCACTGACAGTGTTGGAACTTCTATCACCGAGGAGGATAGAAGTTGGTGTGACCTTTCTCTCCCCACCACTCTTCGTACTTTATGTTGGTTTTAAATATTTTGTTTGCAAGAAGTTGAACTAGGGAATTACACTCCTTCCAAATATGCCATAGCATGACCAAACTCCGTTGATAATCTCCGTAATGTTAGACGAGGTTATATAAGTAATAGTAGCCATGGACATTCAATTGTCGAATTTATCTTTTCATAATTATTCTCTTAGGAAACTTTGGGTATGATAATTATAATCTAACCATTAGATTTACATGAATTAGCTCCGGCTAATCTCAACGGTCAACTCTTCTTTCCTCTTAAATCGAACTTTGGGCTTGGGATTAGAAAATTGGGGCCTGGGCTTTATCCATTTGAGATTAGGGTATAATAACATACCCCAAACTCGATTTAGAGATATCTCTATAAGTATATATATATATATAATAATGTGGCTTGGCCTATTCTTATTTTATATTTTCCACAGAGAACAAAATTTTACTTTGTGTTGATAATTGTCATTAAATTGAATCACAAAAATCTAAGTAGATAAATAGAAATTTTAGGAGGGTTATCAACATATATATTACCCACCAGTTAAATAGAACAACGAATGATAAAAAGCCAGATTTAACATATATATTTCCAATATAGCCTTATGCCCGTAAATTTGGATGTCGATGCAAGTGAGGGGAGGAGACAATGCGGCAGGTTAAAATTATAACAAATTGATTTAAACAATTTTTAATTTAAACAAGTGATTTCGTGGATTAGGTAGCTTCTATGATAGTCTTTCCAAATTAAGGTCCTCGGCTCAAAGCTTACCAGAAGCATTTTTTCACTTTTTGTAAACTGATTTTTAAAATAAAAAATGTGCTTGTAACTAATGGTTCACAACTTAGAAAGACCATCCTTAAAATTTATTTTCTCAAACACAAAACCTATAAATGACTTAATTAAACTTGGTTGCAACTTACAACTATGTACTTATAAATAATAATCATTGAGACACTTGAATCAAAATAAAATGATTTTGGGTTAGGAAGCTTAGGATTAGGACTTATGTTATTCACAATAATATAAAATATAAAATTGACTTAACCTACGTTCTGCACATAACCTAAGCTCTACCAACAATTTCATGACATGTAACTAGAGTTCAGGGTTTAAGGTTAATGCGTAGGGTATTACGGATTTACGGTCCTGGTTTAGAGTTAAGAAGATTAGGACGTATGTTCTTTACATTCTTCACATAACATAAGTTCTACCATCAATTTCATAACATATAGCTATAGTTCCTGGTTTAAGGTTAGTGTATAGAGTATAGGGTCATGGTTTAGGGTTATGGTTAAGGGTTAAGGTTCGTTTTAGGGTTAATATTGTTGTTTAGGGTTATGGGTGGTTTGATGGTTAAGGTTAGTTTTAGGGCTAAGATATTTAAGATGGTGTTTTAAGGTTAGGGTTTATGATTTCTTCATGGTTATGCTTTACAATTTAGTGGTGATGTATGGTTCATGATTAAGTAGGTATGGGTATTTGATGAAAAACTCCAATAACCATCAAGAAATATATGATAGTATAGTTGGTGGTCGTTTTTTAGCATTTCAAATTTCTTCTAACGAATTTTGTGTATCTTTTTAAACTAAAAACATACTTAAACATTTAAACTTACAATCTTAACAGCATATGACTTTCCATTAAGATTAACTAGCCCACCAACTCTTCCATTAGTATTTCTTTGGTGATAGATATTTTGGTTTTATATTTTTATTATTTAACTTGATTTTAACAATTAATTTAATTATTTGGTAGAAATACACATTTCAAATATTTTGAAACTTGAAAATGTATATCGTAAATATATCATATTCAAATGATATTACGACCAACGGATTGGACAACAAACTAGTTAATAGGTATAAGATTTAACATCTATTGATTATAGAAAAAAATATCATCAACAATAGTAAGTATTAAAGAAAGAAAAAACTAAATATTCACAAAAAAGTTTAGTGAAAATTTTTGAATCCCAAATTTAAAATCAATTTTAAACCCCCTCCCCACCCCACCACCACAAATATTTTGTCTCAAATTCCCTCCCTCCAAACTGTAAAAGTACTTTTGAAAATCCCTCCATATATTTGGACTAAATTCCCTTCCTCCAAAACCCGTAAAAGTACATTTTAAACCCCCAAATATTTGGTCAAAATTCCCCCAAAAAACGTGTAAAGCCTCATTTTCTATAACCAAAGAAAACATATATATTAACTATAAATTATTTTTTAATTTACTCAATTGAATTTGAACGGTGGTTAATAAGGGGGACAAAAGTGTCTCTCCTCCCTTATTCTTTTCATCTCATGTTTGTCTTAAATTGGCGAGTTTGCAAAATAGTGAAAATGATTGGTGAGTTTGTTTTAAATTAGTATAATAGTTAATTATTAAAAAAATACTTTTATAGTTTGGACCGAACAACCCGCAACTCGACCTGCTCGTAACTCGAGTAATCCACAATCCGATCAATGATAAACCCAGTTTATCCAGAACCCGATTGATCCACAACCCGACCAACTCGAATCTAATTTGCCCGCAACCCAATTGACACGCATTCCGATCAACTCGAACCTACTTGACCTGCAACTCGATTAACCCACAACCCATTTGAACCGCACCCGAACCCACCCAATTGACACCTTAGTACAAATCCAAATCCATTTGTAAAAAATCCAACCCAACTCAAGTAAATAGGTATGGGTAGGGCTGGAAGTTTGGTATCGGTATTTGGGATATACCGAATACCGTACCGAATTTATCACTATTTGGTATTACCTAATACCGGCTTATTTTTTAGGGATTGGGATTGGGATTCATTTTGGAGTGGTATTCGGTATTCGGGATTACGGGATTGGGATCAGTATATACCGAAATACCGAGAAATACCGAAAATTAAAAATTAATGAAATATAACACACATCATTTAGTCATTACTCACTCTTTCACAACTTAGAAGCCCCTATCCAACTCATTTTTGACTTTCCAGATTAAGTCACTCTCGTTTCTCACCTAATATCTTGTTATTTTAATAACACCAAAAAACAAACACTAGTATTAATCGGCTCTCAACCTCCAATTCGTCAAATTAAGGATTACCAATGACAAGAATTTGAGATATCACCTCTCCTCCATTCTCCTTATCCATATCCTAGCTCTAGCCAAACTCAAGACTCTTTGCTTAGTCTCTTTGCCCTAAATTAAACAATCAAATCTAATTTATGTATTTAATTATTACTTGCAAAGGTAATTAATTTCGTATTCGTTAATACCGATTGAGATACCGAAGTACCGATTGGGATACCGAAATATTTAGGGATTGGCATTGGGATACCAAAATTATTTAGGGATTGAGATTGACTTTAGGATGTAATTCGATATTCGGGATTTCGGTATTTGGTATTGGGATACCGGTACCGTACCGATTTCCACCCCTAGGTATGGGTACAAATCTATCAAATTCTACTCATCTATCATCTATTTGAATTTCATACCGAGTTGGATAGTAAAATACTGTGTATGGACAAAATTGCCCCTACGTGTGGTCATTTTTTTCTCACTCATCACGTATCGGTGATTCTAAACCAGTCAAACCTGCACAGAACCACCATCTGCTGACTCCTACAAACCAGGTCAGAGAATAATAATATGACAAACTGTCTCCATGCACATGCCACAAGTTGAAAGATCCAAGTACAACCTACCAAAAAACGGGGCCAAGAAAAGTTTTGCCACTTGAGAAAGTTAGGGTGTACAATATCTTATCAGTGTGTTTCTCTTGGTAATAAGAAAATAAGATCACATCTAGCAAAAAACACAAAACTAGATACCATCAAAACTTTTGCAACTTGAGATCAACATAATCTGCAAGGCCAACAGCTCTACCTCAAGCTGAATCCTTTACCTTTTGTTGCTGCACCCCATTCTTGAAGTTGAGGAACAGCTCTCCGAGATGGGACTCGCAAGCAGTTTGGGCTTCTGGCATCAGTTCTTTTAGGAAGGCCTTAGTCAAGTTATTGGCTGATATAGTCTGGAAGACCTTCCCACAAAATTTCCGCACATCAGCTTGCCTCGACTGTTTCTCCGGCATATTTGTCACTAGCTCCTTGATGAGCACGCTCAGCTTCTGAATCCCCTGAGTTTTCAGCATCTTCTTTGCAGCCTTGTTATCAGAACCCGTACTAGAAATCATTGATTTCAAAACCTCTATAACAAGTTCAAGTGCTTCAACCCGACGAAATTCCAGTTTTGAGCTGCTGCATTGGTCTACAAGGAACTCAAAAAGGTTGTGCGCAATCCACGGTCTCCTCCTAAATACCTCTCTAACAAACCCCGACTTTATTGGGCACTTCTTACTGCAAAAATAACCTGTAAGCAGATTCTTTACCGCATGAAAGACACTATTGCGTTCATCCTCTGAAAAGTTGCTGGCATCAATGACCTTCAGGATCCAAAATGTTGAATCTTGTGCAAGGGAACCCAGCATTTTGTGCCGTTTCCAGGCAGCTGACTGCTTTTTCTTGGATTGATCAGCAGCAGAAGATTTCTTCTTCTTAAATGGCCTGGATGCCAACTTTAAATTTCTTTCGAGCAGTTTTACAAGCAATACATTGTCCACATCAGCTCCTTTCGGATACTCCTTTGACTTCACTATTTTCTTATTTAGAATTCCCCATATTCGCTGTCCTAGCTGTTCACTTATTTCTGTGGTCTGCGGGTTAACAAACGCTCGAGCCAAGTATGAATAGATTGTCAAGACGTGGGGCCTACCTGCACAGCCAAAACGAACAAATAAATTTAGGTTAGCATTGGTTTTCTGCAGTTGATTTTCCTTTGTTTCTTTTGTTTTGTTTTCAGCATGCTATATACTCTGACAAACTCCAAATCCCAAAGCCTCATAAACCAAAGTAATTTCTAAAACTGGCGGTACTGGTAGTTATGTCTCCTTTAAGTTATCAAAAGTCACTGAATGCATTTCAAGACATATATAACCAACTCATTGACGAACATAGCAATATTTTCTCAGTAACAAGGGTAGAACGCAATAAATTGAACCTTCTCTGATCCCTGGCTAATCCAACTACTTGCCTGGATTTGTCTGTAGGTAAATCTCCAGCAATGAGAGAACACGAAGCTTGAACAAGACAAGCTGTGATTGAGCAGTTTCACCACCAGCCTGATTTTTTTTCTCTTTGAAAATCTGGGCAAGGTATGTATCCATCTTGAACATTGCATCATCATCCATTCCATCATCTGACTCATCAGATTCTTCAGGTGATTCTTTGTCACCTTCCACTACTGCCTCGGAGTCATCTGTCTGTTCTTCACTCTCGCCTGTTTCAACTGTTTGGGCTTCATCAGTATCATCATCTTCATCTTCTTCAATGTCGAGAAGATCATCATCATCTTCATCGTCACTATCTGCTTCCCGATGTCTAGCTGGCTTCAAGTCTCTCTTGATGATGCGCAGCATTTGCAACAATCCATCATGTGTCACGTTGTAGGAGAAACACCTAAAAACCTATGAATTAGTAAGGGGAAATAACGTTAGTGAACTCATCAATAACAACTGAAGTATAAAAATGCAGAAACCAGCATTTAGCTCTGGTTTGTTTGCGGCGAGACTACTCAAGTATCATAGACACCACATACAAACATGAAATCTAAGTTGAATGACTTGTCAAGAAACAAGAGTTTCACTAGAAGAGTTCCATAAACATGAGTCCTAGCCTGATCTTATCTTGAACAAATTGAGTAAACTGCCAAGTAAACTTGATGTGGAATTTTTCTAATGAAGATGCATCACTTCACACCATATCAAAGATAACGTCATATTGTGCCATGCTAACATAAAATTAAAGCCTTAGGAAAAAGTAATTAGGAAGAGAAGTTGAGCTACAATAGGTTATAAACCAATTCGGAATTTCATATGACGAAGAGGCACTAATATAGAATATGAAACAAACTAGATTTTTTTTTTTTTTTTGTTATTCCAACATACCTCCTCAACAGCAGACCGGATAGGAGCTGATGACTGAGGCAACAGTGAAACTAAAGTGTCGACAAGAACATCCATCCACAAAACATCACTATCCGACACATCTTCTCCCGACTCAAGAACGTCAGAAAGGACAAAAGCTTTCTTGCAACATATGATAATTTCAGAGACAGGTTCAGTGAATTCTGCCGGATGAAGAAGCAATTGGAGCAATAGCTGGATCAACAAGTACCTCAGTGCATGATACTTGTACATGAAGTCCTCAGGACCGCCCCTTCTTTCCTGCCATAATTAAAATGACTAAGAATGATGCCATGGAATGGCAAATGATAAACAATTGTATATATGCAGGACAAATAGATACGGACTGCCTGCATATGAACAATTTTTTAGGCCCTATATGAGCGGATCTATCTACAAGCGAAAACTACCAGAATTTTTCAATCAAATATTCAATCAATGTCCTGTTGCCTTGAGAATGTGAGCATGGGGTATCAGTTTTGCATTTGTCTTGAAACCACGTGAACATAGAAACTTATACTTGGAACTACACTATGACAGAAAGTTGCTGTGCAAGAGATATACAATTTGAATTTAATCAAAATAAATAAATCATTAAGAGCAAAACACTTGAATACTATATTTTTAATTTACATAAACATTTGTGTAAAACTATGAAAGTGACTTCAAACCTTTAGAAACACCAAACACAGCTACTTAAATGAAAGTACTTACCTGTTTGTAAAGACTAGCTTCCATTGTTTGTAACTTTTGGTAAGCCTCCTCATCCTCGTCACTTAAAACACGGAATAAAGAAACAGAAGGTATGCTGCGCAATGTTGAGAGGAATTGCATGAAGAACGACCCCAGATCACTAAATTCAGAGCTTTGCAGCAAAACTGGGGATACGTCCATCTTCTGAACACTTGCCAGTAATGATTGCATTTGCTCAATGCACATTTTGCATATGGCACTTGAAGTTGCTGCCTTTGGCCACCTAAATTTCTCATGTAGTTCAAAAGATGTGACCTCAGAGCCAAGAGATGCGGAGAATAAACCTTGAACTGCAAGGAACTTTAGGATTTCTTTTTGGACACGGAATTTTTCTTCAGGCTCCAACTTCAAAGATTTCAAGATACTTGGCATTGATTCTACAATCCAACTTTTCAAGGAATCAGAAATTCCCATGACACCAGAATCTTTATCCTCTAGCGATCCCATCTCTGAATTGTCATCAGTTGTCTGGCTCTGGTCTGAAGGTTCATCTGATGCATTACCTTCATCCACAAACAAGTTCATCAAATTTTGAATGAACAGCATGCAACCAGATTCCGTTTTGAAGTCTGCCAACAAAGCTTTTACTGTTTTTGTCTTTGTTATGAAATCAAATTTCCCATTGCTGTGTTTCTGTAAGGCAACTATGACAGCAACTCTTCTGACATCATCATCTCCAACCCAATCTGACAATCCTTTAAAAAAATGATGTGCAACCTTAAAGAGCCAGCTATCTTTTGTTGAGAGAATATCCATGAGGCCTTGCACAAGTTTGTAAGAGAGAACAACTGGGACTAAAGATGCAGGTAGCCTTGGAAGAAGGAGGAGCAGAACATCCAATGCCAGATGCTTACGGTCATGAGATGATGTCAGGAGGGCACCCTCAATTATAACTTCACAGAAATTTTGAACATTCTTTTCAATTTCTTCATCTGGTGAACTAGACTTCCTGTTTCTTCGATTCTTCTTCAGAAAATTAGAAGCAGACACCACATCTTCGGCCTGGGATATCATTACTGGCAAAATCATATTTACCATAACAGGCCACACGCTGTGAACTCGAGGCTGGCAGGAGGTTGAATTCTGCCACATTCAACAATTAAAAACAAAGCGAAAAAATGGCTATTAGACCTCATATGCTAGACAGAACCTGGATAAAACAAATATCTTGGAGACAACCTTCCAGCACTGAGTGAGTAAGGTCAAATGATCAGAGGAGAAAAATCTGGTAGGGCTGAATGGATATGGCAGAATATTTCCAATATTTAAGCTATCAACAGAAACTTTCTCCCGAACTTTCAGAGCTAGAAGCAAAGCATCTGGGTTCCCAGCACCCACGGCATCATTAAACCACTCAGAAAGTCCAGGAGCTTCAAGTATGTGATTCAATACGTGTTCCACTTGCATCTGTACATATAACAACTATCAGTATCCATCGACGATGAGTATAAAGCATTCCCCAGGGAGATGGTTATAAGGGATAGTAATAACACCTTAGAGTTAGAGTAAATACAAGAAATCAAATGAAGGTACCAGAAGCAAGGACCATAAGAAGTCACACAAACTAGAGTAAAAAAGTGCAGCATATAATATTTTTATATAAAAAGTTCTTCAGACGTAGATGCAACATTATTTTTACATTGGTATAATGATCTCAGTGTTTTACCACCAATATAACTTATATAGTACATGTTAAGGGAAATTCCAGGAGTGTAAAAGGGTATATGGACCAGAGACTCGACAAACTTCTTATATTTGTTAAGGGAAATTCCTAAGAAAACATTGAGAATGTAGTCAACTAAATGGCAAGGTAAAACAGAGGGTGAGCTGGCTATTATATTTTCTGCAAAAGAGGCTGCATCATACGCAATCCAGCAAATTTAGAATGCTAAAGATAAGTATGGCATTCGGGTGAATAAAGCCAAACTATCACAGAACAGCATATCCTGAATACCACACAAACAACAACTTATGCACCGCGGAAAGTTTCTTCTTTGGCTGAAAGCTCTAACCACCGATAAGGGGTTCATAAAAACTTTACCGGCGGACCACACAGCAAAGCTGATACAGGACAATCAAAAAGAAAAGGAAACACTGAATAAGAAGTTTGATAAAAACCAATAGCAGTTAGCTGCAAAACTACCTTTTCTGCCAATTCCAAGATAACTGTTACAGCAGGCTCTGGCAAATACGATTTCTTTGTTGAAAGAGTCAGCAGAACACTGACGAACTCCTTGATTATTGGAGTGTTTGGATCCGACACACACAACTCATTCAGTCTACCTGACCGAGCAAGAGCGCCATAAGAAAATAATCTACCCAAAAGACAATCCCTTACTTCCTGAGCACACAAAAAGAAATAAGTTCAGAAAATTTCCCAAGGTTAAGTTCAAAACAAAATGTCTTGCCAAGATGTAAAATTGCCCACCTCGCCCTTCATTGATGCAGAAACTTCTAATGTCTCAACAATCAATTTCAGCAAAGAGTCAACTTTGATGGAAGAAATTGTGCAAATCAACAGAGTCAATCCTAATGCGAAACCCTGTCTGGCACACTAAGAAAAGAGAGTGGATAAAGAGTCAATACAAATCAAGGACCCAATAATACACACATAAGAAATGCAAAGACCAACTCAAGGAGATGGCTATCACTTAATTCAAATCAGCAGAAGCTGAATGCGCATTTTCTTCACCATACTGGATGCAGCTACCCAGTTTTCTCTACCATTAGTCATGAGCAAGTCACTAATCCACATGATGCGATTTTGTAAAACCAACGCACAAGATTAAGCATGACAGAAACTGAAATATAGAAATATATCCCGGATGGCTATGGTAGTTAAGCAAAAAAGAACTAACAATACTGTCTGTAGATATGAGAAAATCCAAACTGTAGAGTAGATATGTCCACAAAGGGCATATATTTCTAGCTCAGTGGAACACCTGAAAGCACCAAACATGTTCTAGGTCAACGAGACGCAACAGGTAAGTAAATCTGAAGGAGGTTTTATGGCAGTTTCAACAAGTTAACAGTCTTTTAATAGCAATAAGTTTTTTTCAACCCAGTACTCGATTACTATGCATGACAAAGCTTTATCTTTACTCAGAAACAAGAGATAAGCTACTATACCTCAAATTAAACTTACGACCAGTCTGCTATTCGCATCCAAGTACCAAACATAACAAGGAAAGGCCATGTAGTTCAAATTAACCTACCTCCCTAGATGATGAAGTGCCACGTACAAGTCTCCTTATAGCATATCTGACGGATGGTGCACAATCTTTCAACCCATCATCCTTTTCAGCTTCCAATTTCAAACCACTTTCAAACAACTCCTTGTTTCCCTCGTAAGCTCTGTGAACCTCTTGCAATTCTGCCACTAGTCTTTCTACAGCAGCTTCTCTTAAGGAAGCATCGGCAGATGCCAAATCTTTGAAAACATCAATGTGGAAAGCAGGAAGTGCATTGCCAGATGACGCCACCATTTGTCCCCTTGTTTCATTGACTTTAGAATCTAAATTCATTATCGGATTTTCCTGTGCATCTGCATCCGAAGCACCATGGCGACGCAGTTTGTCCACTGTTTTCCTTTCCTTCTTTCTTTCCATGCTTTTGATTGAATTAGTTCCAGCGGACGGATTAGAAGCAGTAGGAACATCCCCATCAGCCCTATCACCACTCTTCTCCTTACCCTTCTTCATTTTCTTCTTGATGGGATTTGTAACTGCATTTTCTTCTTCCACACCCACAACCTCATTAGCTTCCGCTACCAAATTTGAGGTTCTCTTTTTGCTCCCCATTGTAAGCCACTGCAAGTAGAAATCAACAATACAAGACAAGCAAATTTTGAAAAAGAATATACACAAAAGAACACGCACTATCGCGTAGAAAGCAGAATACCAAAGCAGTTTAAAAAAACAGAAAAGAAGGAAAGGGGAATACAATAAATGGGAAGATACAAACCAATACACTCTCCGACCCTATTTTCTTCCTGGATTCCTTGAAAACCTACTGGAGTTGAGAAAATCTAATAACCGTTCCAACCAGATTGAGCAGTCGGCCACGACAGCTAAAGGAGGCCGGGCTGAGAATGAGGCGACGAGTCCTTTTATTGCTTGCGATGGCGGCTGGGAGGTTTGCGGGAGGGACAGGGGGGATGGCTAAAGGCTAAAAGCCTGAACACAAACGGAGAAAGGGTTTCAAAGTAAGGTTTCCAGCATTCCGACCTTTCTCTCCGTAGTATAGAGATATTACCACCAAAAGAGTAAATTCAATTATTGGCAAAAACATTTATTTATAACTAGATTGTATCCCGGCCCGTTGGCCGGTTATAATGTGATAACAATGATTAAAAATGTTTCAAGTTTAAAGTGATTTAAAAGGTTCCAAATTTAAATTTTAATATATGTTCTTTCTCTTGGACAAATATACATATTAGTCTAAATATTAAAAAAATCCAGCATTTGTATTATAATCAATCATTAGATTGAAACTGATCTTTATTTTTTTCGAAAACTTTCGCTTCAATTAATTTGTAATGTAGTAGTAGGGATATTGAATAGTTCGATCTTTTCTCACGCCATCATAGGAGCTTGATCTCATTTATTATAATTAAAATAATTTTCATTTTAAATTTCAACATAATAAGAATTTCTTTTAATGTCTTAAGAATGTACCTTGAATGAAATTCAATCACTTCATAAAAATCCTGATTATGTAGCTCCAATTTAAGTGGTCAATCACGAATAGATGATCATTAACATCTTAAATATTAAACTAATAAAGTAAGAAATATTTACATACTTGCGGACAAAGAGGAATGAAATGGTCAAGATGAACATTGAATTAATAGCCTTAGTAAATTTTTTATTGAATTGAGTACGGTTTCTACTTCATAAGTTACTTGAATTTTCACGGACAGAGAGGAATGAAATGGTAAACATGAACAATGAATTAATAGCCTTAGTAAGAATTTTATTGAATGAGTACAGTTTCTACTTCATAAGTTATCTTCAAACCACATCTTTTGTACCCGAATTGAAACTAAGAACTTAACAAAATCATGCAATTTTGAAATTAAAATTATACTTTAAAGTTGGTATTCTCAGTAACGCTCCTACTTCATAGAATTATCTTCACAGAACATCTCTTGTACCCGAATTGCAACTTCGAACTTTCCTATAACCATGCATTCTTAAAATAAAAATTACACTTGTAAGTCGGTATTCCCACATGGTTGGACATCGATAGATATTTGAACTTCATAAACTTTTTTAAAAAAATTAATAACTCTCATTTATCCAGTACCTTTCTGGTACTTTTCTGAGTATTTTCTATTTGGTTGATCCTTCACGTATTAAATATGTATAACACGTTTAATACACTTAAATTTTAAGTAATTAAACTTATAATTTATTAATTTTATATTTAGTTGTACTTATAAATTCTTAAAATTTAGTGGGCTCAAAATAAAATTAAAAGCCCAAGCGACGCAAAACCAACTCATACCTTGAACTGGAAATAAGTAATTTCCGGCGAACCATTTCCATCTTCTAGAGGCGGGAATGGATCAGGTCAGTAACCTTATGGTGAGTAACCATGAGTAACCTGTCAACATCAGCATGACATCAGCATCCTCTCTCTCATAGAAAGTCTTTAATTTTTCTCTCTTTAATCTTTGACGGACGATTTCTCGCTCATTTTAAGTCGAAATTTAATTTTTTTTGCACAGTTAGATCAGATTAATTGTGCTCTGCAAAATGATATCCACTTTAATATATTTTTCGAACAAAAAAAAATTGAGCCATTTTTTACCAGCCTATACCATATGGTATTGACTGGTATTGAAATAAAAGCATACCTATGTTTTGAAAAACGTACCATGGTGGTATGAACAAACCAAACTGTAGGATGGTTGAATACATGATAGTAGAAGCATATTAATTGTAATTTACGACTTTTAACATTGTATACAACACAATACCACCCCGTACCAGGGTGGTATTGTATGGTATTGTGTGGTATTTTTTGGTCCTGTAATTTGTTCACCCAGAAATTTGTAGATCCAATAGATCATGATGAACTCGTCCCTTCTGTGCAAACGTTTTCAAAAACGAATTAAAAACGAAGAAGATACCATACAATACCACCCCGTACCGGGGTGGTATTGTATGGTATTGTGTGGTAATTTTTGGTCCTGTAATTTGTTCACCCAGAAATTTGTAGATCCAGTAAATCATGATGAACTCGTCCCTGCTGTGCAAACGTTTTCAAAAACGAATTAAAAACGAATAAGATACCATATGGTATGCAGTTGGTACCGAGAGGCCAGAATTTTTTTTTCCTCAAAAAATATTGAAAATTGATCTCATTTTGTAGAGTACGGTGAACTCGTTCCATCTGTGCAAAAAAAATTAAAATCCGAGTTAAAACGAAAAAGATATGAGTCAATTAAGAAAGCTAGTGAAAATAAAAATAACCTTTAATTCTCCATCCTTAGATCTGGATTTTCTAAATGAAGGGTCCAGATTTGGTTATTGATGGGTGCATAACCCATGGTTATGCACCCTATCTTGAGCCTCTAGAGGCCCATATCAGCTATAAAAGAAATTGACTAAAGTGCCATTCCGTAGTCTGCACAGCATCCAGGAAAAATGAAATTAAGGGGTTCTGAAGGATATTGGAGGATATAGTAAGTATTTTCTCATAATGTTAGTCACAATAGGATTTGAATCTACAATCCGCCAATTCAAAGCTAAATTTTGTTGGTTCATTCAAAATGCACTCGCCACGCGTCATTTTCAGAAGGCGATTGATGCCAAAATGACGTCAATTGTCACTTGTGATATGATTGACAAGAAAGCACATGAATTCACACAAAAATCCTTACAGATTTACTTTTGATTTTAAAATTTTAGAGTTTTGGGATTTAGGGTTACGATGGATGGTTTATAATTTGGGTTTAGGTCTAGTGTTCAAAATTGAATGTTTAGGGGTTTTGACAATGGATTGATTGGTTGTTATCCTATGTTATATCATCATATTAGATAAACTAGTTTCTTACCCGACCTATTGGCCGGAGAGTTCCAATATCATTTATATCAATTGATTTTTCAATATGCTTAAACTCTTTTGAATCTTCTAGATTTTTTATACTCTCACTTCATAAGCGAGTATGTAATATGCTTATATTAAAAATTCTCAATACTTAACACACTCATGACTCACCTATAATGCTATTATATTATTCTCTAATCACAATCCTGTCATGAAGGTTTATCACATCCCATTTAGGATAGCATATCAAGATTTTTCAGCCAAGACACTCAGATTTATCACATTATACAACATTTAACAATTCGTGATTCTCGAGTTAAGACAATCTCGGAACCAATTATTGAAAGTTCAAATTATTGGATAAAGATACTTAATTAGTGGATAAATTTTCTCTATCCGAATTGAAAATTGACACTATCGTATCCCTTACGATGATCATATTCTCTAATCATGACTCATTTTCATGTGATTGTTCATGAAGTCTCGGTCGAGGATCTTATATCAAAATTTGTCTATCAAGACACTCAAATTTAGTATCTTATACAATATGTATCAATCACTAATTCTTGAAGTTTGGAGGACTAACCCTCAACCCATGGTTGTTGTGTACATGTTGGTTTAGAATCTCAACCAAATACAGTCACTATCAAGGGTTCCTGTCTAGATATGGTCATTTAGTGTATAATTTTCCAACTTTTTAATGTGCATTTTTTCCCTTTATCTTTGGTGTTTGTTTTGGAACAAATATGTTATTACTTATCTTAGTAACTGATAAACCGTGTCTACAATGCACACGGATTTTAGGTGAATTTAAAACAACATATCGTTTGAATAATTAATTTATATTTTTTAAAAAGGTTGGTTTTTTATTAAAGATTTTCTAAAATTCATACCATAATTATGACATTTCGCATATATATAGATTCATGAATGTATTGTAGACACATCTATTATTAATATCTAAATACAAATTGCTTACTGTTACAAACTAAAATATTTATGTTTTGTTATTTTGATATTAGAATTTTTTTGTTATTATCCAAATTTGGTATCGAGTCACAGGCCCAAAAACAGATGTTTAGTTTATTGTATTAATCCTTGAATTTATATTTTTTTACCAATACATTCGAATATTAAACGAAAATTTCCTGCCTTTGTTTGATCAATGCCTAGTTTAGTGGTTGATGAAACGTTATGTTTACCGTACATCGTCTACAAATACTTCTCTATCCAAACCTTTTGTTATATGATACTTGTACATCGTCAAAATTCTATCCAGACATTTTGTTATATAATACTTGCTTTATTTGATAGACATATACATTAGAAATGAGAGAATGTTTGATAGTAAAAAATATAAAATAATATAGTTCATTTATTAAAGTCGATTGATCGTCAAACAACTTGTTTCTCTCTTTCCATCATTATATTTGTTTGATCAATGAAATATTATTACTTATGTGTGTATTTTTAAATTTTTCATTAAAATATAACTTATAAGTTCTAGTATAAATGAGTAGAAATCTGACTTAAAGATGTAATAATATGTTTCGGTTTAAGAAAATGCGTTAGATGTAACTTTACAAACATTAGTCTATTATTGTATATATAATGCAAAATAAAAAAGGAATTATTGATTGAAAGAAAAAAATATTAGAAGAAGAGAGATAGCTCCATAAATATGTCATTAACTAAATTTTTTTGTTTCCAAAAATATTGTCCACCTTGGCAACTTGTGAGTTCTTCAAATGCTTATGTGGCAAGAAGTAAATTTTGAACAACCATAATATATAGTAAGATATAGGCAAAACATACTTGTATAGTCATAAATATGCACTTTGTGACAATAATAGCCAAAATTTGAAAAATACACGGATGTAGCTTCACTTTTTAAACTTGTTCGTCAGATTTAGTCATTTCTGTTGAAAACTTCAACGTCGTGAGCGATTCTGTTGGTTACGTGGACGTTACACTTGTAACATCCCGTTCCGACAAAACCCATATTTCGATCGCTAGAAAGTTTGCGACTTAAAATCGAGTGTTTTGATAGTATTTCGACGAAAATCGAATTATCGATCGATCGGATAAGTATACGAATTAATTATATATGGCAAAGGCTAGCATACGCCCGGGCGTACCCTAGCCTACCGTACGCCCGTTGAGTTTTGCTATTTAGACAATGAATTAACCGAAGTTTGGGGCATGATACTATACCC